TTCCGAGCTCTTCTTAAAAGATGTACTAGTGTACATAGGTGTTGGGCTGAAATTTTTAATAAATTTTTACTTTAACCTCTATACTCGAAAAATCATAGTCTAGCTTTATGATACAACTTATTTGTTTCGAGCTGAAATTTATTTGAAATTACAYTTTCATTATAAGTGAGGTAATCGTAATGAAAGTAAGATTTCTCTTGAGACGTAATGAATTAGATTATTCGTTTTATATTTCATTAGCCTCTTAAAAGTCTTAGTTATGGAGTCTTAGTCTGGACTGCAAAACAAACCACAAAAAATTTCTCACAAATATTTAAGATATCTAAGAAAGATTCAAAATTACCAATTTGAGGCTTTCTAGTTTGTATGCCCTTTTGYACTAAGCACTCTATTCTTATGTTTATATTTCAAACAAAAAAAGTCAATAATCAAATTTGACCCAGACTGACAAAAAACAACACATTCTCGTGTTTTAATACAAACCTTTATTGGGGTATTATATGTATGTACAGTTTCGATGTCATATTCATAAACTTATATGTCTCCTCCTTAGTATGGATGCTTTTGATACATATAAGACCCTCAGTTATTTTGTTTAGCAGCTCCTTTGCGACCTCTACTCAAAGTGGTTTTTGCAAAATAATCTGATTTTTTAGTAAAAGTCTATCATTGAGACGCTTCACACCCAAAAAAATTAATCAAAATGATGATTGAAATCTGCTGCTATATCTCTAATGCCAACTCGTCGATTTTTGATTTAACATTTTCGAYATTATCGTCATTAACATTTGATGGACGATTCGCATGAGGCAAGTTTTCGAAGACTTCACGATTTCATTGCTTTGTGCCACTTAAAAAGTCGTGCTCATGACAAAATAGAAACACTTCTGCATCATTTTCAACGGTTTTATAGCCGTGATTCCAAGATGTATGTATGTAATGTACAAGATTTTCACGTAGTATTTAAAGTCGAAGTATTTTTGCAACCTTATCTTAGGCTTTATCAGAGCGTTGGATGAAATTTGGTTTCGAACASATCAAACGTGGTTACTCTATCAGCCCTTGACTTGTACAGTTACCATAAAGCGCATGGAGTCAAATCACAACAATGTRGACCAAAACCGATTTATTGATTTGATTCGGTCAACAAAACTTTGCTTCAATATGGGTGCCTGAAGGGTTTCTTTACAATTGTTTTCGTTTTTGTTTGTTTACGCACATATTGAACCAAAGAAAATATTTCGAGCTGCAGAGCTTAATCGAGCAGGAGACATMTTTTTTAAGAGTGTACAGCTGCTTGCGTATGCTGATTATATCGTTTTCTCCAGATTGTATMAGGAAGCAAAGCAAATGGGTCTGGTAGTGACCGAGGGCAAATAAATATTGAAAATATCTGCTGTTATCAAACAAATTGTCGTTGCATTCCSGACTTGACTCCCAYKTCACCATTGMMAGTCATAAYTTAGAAGTCGTAGATAATTTCGMCTATCTTGGACCGAGTATTAAGAACAACAACAACGCAAAAAAACTCTTACCAATAGGTGCTACTTCGGACGGAGCAGGCGATGTAAAGTATTTTCTCGAGGAACTAAAAACAAACTCTTTAAGTCACTCATTATCCCCGTACTGCTCTATGGTGCAGAGAATGACAACATCTGATGGGTCGACGTTAACAGTTTTCGAGAGAAAGGTTCTGCGCTTTCCATGGGAAGACGAGTTCTACGACGACATTGATATAGCTCAGCGAATTAAGAATCAGCGTCCACGCTGGCTAGGCCAAGACATCCGTATGGATGAAAACACTCCAGCTTTGAAAGTATTCAACGCAGTACCCGCCGGTGGAAGCAAAAGAAAAGAAAGATCTTCATTCCGTTGGAGAGATCAGGTGGAAAAGAAGCYGGCTGCACTTGGTATCTCGAATTTTCATCAAATTGCGAAAAGAAGAAACACATGGCTCTCCGTTATAAACTCTACAATAACCGCGTAAGCGGTGATTACGCCCATAAAGAAGGAGAAGAACCAGAAATCGCTGTTCTATGCAAAATACTCTATAAGTTTGTACACAGATTGATTGGGATTGAAAATTTTACTGCTTGAAATGTTACAAGCTTTGATGTAAGTCTATGCAAAAAAATGAGCAAAAGCTATATCACATAAATGTCAAACAAATGTGTTTACGTTGACAGATGGTTGGACAGGAAGTTACTAACCGCTAAAAATGCACTCTATGTATCTTTAAAGCGTTTTCGCATATATTGTATTTGCGAAGGTTTTACTCGTTTCCTAACATCCTCTCGATTGCCAAATTCGCAAATTAACTGCATTACTTAAAATATGTCATAATTGTACTGAAGAAAATCAATTAAAACCGTGGATTTCAATTCAACTGCATGCAAATGTGACTTCTCCACCTTTTTTTGGCAACATTAACAGCAACATACTAACCCAGTTTGGCATCACACGACATGCGCCAAGCCACGCATTTGCACACCTTAAAAATTCCACGCATGCCGTGGCAGTCCAAGTTCAGTGTGTCGTCTGGGCTAAGCACATGAAACCGTTAGGGACCAGCGCTTTTTTTCAACAACCATCACATACACACGTACTTTTGCATATAAATAATTGCAATGCGCTTCCGCTATGAATCCACGTAGAAATTTTAATGTCTGTATGTATGTACATAAGTTCATTTGAATGAATGCACGATTTTTAAATTTTCGCAACGCTTTGACAGCGAATGTCACTATTTTGCTTGTTGTTTGTGTCAGTTGCTTTCAATTAAACATAAACATATGTACAATTTTTTGATGCTCTTGGGAGTATCTTTGTACGATTAAAGACGGCTAATTGACTGACAGTTAACACGCCACAAACACATTTACAGCCAGCCGTGGCTCTGGCTTCGGCTCCTTAACTCAAAGCTCAGCTGACACGTTATAGCTGAGCTTTTTGTGTAACCGTTATATAGATAATGGATAGCCTACGCCCTTCACTTGGCAGTTCCGTACGTGTTGGCGAATCTATCAGCAATGTTGATCGGCATGTTGTTTTATTTCTGAACTTCTTTGAAGGTGATACGCTCGCCGAACTGATGCATCTTTGTGTGATTTACGACACTTCACATTTCCAAAAAGATTTATTGAGGCTTTGAAAGCCTTGTAMATTATCGCTAGGCAACAAAAAGATCGTATGATCGTAAAAGTATTTAGGTAAACAAGGGTTAGGGGTGCCAAATAAAACAAAAATGTTTTGCTTGTTCCAGCGATGTAAAATATTCCAGCAATATTTTTGGAGAATGTTGCGTAATTCCTGGCCGGATAAAAAACGCGATCGCTCTGTTTGTTGTCTTCGTCCTCCCAAGTGACCGGGTTATGAAAATGTAGAGGCTAGTCGGATATATGTACAAAATGAAAAAACTAATAAGGGGTGATGGATAAATATACTGAAATATCGAGAAAATTGGGAAATCATAAAGAAGTACTTCTAAAATAGACCTGCCTAGTATATTACATAGGGAGGTTAGAGAGATAAATAAACAGTAGGACAGTAAAGACGGACAAAAAGTCAAACAGACTTTCAAGCCAAGTTTCTGAATCTTCTGAGGAGTCACTATCAATGTGCAGGGACTGGTACATATTAGTTTGATGAAACATTATTCTTTTTCTATTGGTCAAAAAACTGCTGATATTACTCTTTATTTCTTTCGATTATGTGGACCGAGGTATGATAATTATATTTTTTTAAATAAATCCATTACATTGCATAGTTCGAAATATCCGATTAARGTCAAATATGAGTCGTTTAATCGATAACTAGGGGCTAGTTTGGCGGTGATTTCTTACTTACTCATGTCTCTACTCAACCGTATTGACAGAAATGAGACAGTCGGTTTTTTAAAAGGCTCTCTCGATGCGCTTTGTTCTGCAATAAATTCATTAGCGAGAACAGATGAAATCACTTGGTAGCGATATTAACGCGTTGTTGTCGGTTACAGCAAGAATAAAACAGTTTAAAAATTTTTAGTGCGCAATTTTAATTTTAGATCGTACTTATACGATACGAAATCTCAAAAGTATATTATTTATAGGCCTAGAACACCGTTACAGTCTCGTTGTAGAGAAGCTAGTATACTATATTCGTTCCATGAAATGATCTTTGATTACCTTGTACTACATACCATACTATGAACGGACCTCTTGCTCTAATATTGTAATGCAAACCACTTGACTGAACGCTTTAAATATCATATTTTTTATAGGTTTGAAAATCGTCAGTTTGTAGTGATTATAACCCGATAAGTTAATTGCAACWTCAATGAGTAGAACGTATGCTACCAAGACGTTTCTAGAATATAAAAGTGTTGCTCTGCCAATCATCTTTGTTAAGTGAACAAAATTGTTTGTAAGCTTTTAGAGAGGTAGAACTACTGATACTTGAGCGTAAACGCGTAAACGCAAAGCTTCGACCGGCTACGGTTATACAACAGTTTCAAGCATTTTCGAAGAGATSCTACGGAAGACTCGAATGCTCTGTCTTTAACTGAATAACTGCAGCATTACAGTATRCTTAAAGTTACTTCTAACCGTGGAACCGACTAAAGATGTAAAGAGTTCGATTGTGATATAAATAAACTAAAATTTTCTATATATGTATTGGATTGAAGGCTTATTATTTTTATATTTTACATGTCTATTAACAATAAATCATCGCGAAAACAACACAGAAAATTTCCAACTCCTCATATCATCCCACTGAAATGCTTGATTTCCCACCAAAAAAAATTAAAAAAAAAAAAATTAAATGTATTCTTCATATCCTTATATAATCCCCAAACATTTTCATTTTCATCCAACAACAACTCTCACATCATCTCAACAACTAACATTCCATATAAATTCATCATGCTTATCAAATCCGCTTTCTTCTAAAACTAAAAACAAAAACAAAACTTTTCTGTATAAAAAAACATATCCTTTTTCTGTGTTTGTTTTTAGGATTGGCTTGCGGGACATGCGTTTTTGAATCTGAATTTGGTTTCATACTCAATTGTAACTTCAAAAAGTCTGGACTATTTCGTGTAAGGAATTTGGGCGGCCTAAAAGCACATTTTGGTTTAGGTAAATGCAACAACAAGAAGAAAAAATATAATATATTTAATAAAAACTAATCAAAAAAGCAATAAAATTAMCAAATCAAACATTAACATTTTAMTATCGGTATTCACGATCTATCGTTACATGGCCAAAATTGCAGGTATATTGTGTATTTTTTTAAACAGAGAATGAGTTCTTACTTTAATCGTTATGAAAACTTAGCGAATTTTGACGTATAAATATTTATTCGTAGCTCTTCTGAAAACAATGAACTATGTGGAAGAAGTAGGGAAGTGCCAAGTTCAGGCGTAACCGAACATTTTATGATCTCGCAATTTTCAAAGTCCAAAGTCGCGGCCATATTAGCAGAAGATGGTTATATTTTGGGAAGTTAGAAAGGTTTATATTAGGTATATGGAGGTAGAGACAGTATTGACCCGTACGGTACATAAAGCTGAATTTTCAAAAATCTTTATATTAAGCATATTGGTAACAAGAAGATTCAGAACTATCAGGAAAGGAATGCTTTGGAATTTCAATAATATATCTCACAGATTAACCGATATTCTCGGTAAAAAAAAGTCGCTAAGATTCACAAATTCGGTAACGGAGAGMCTGAAAAGTTACGGACGTGAGATTGACTGCCTTAAAGTTACTATTTGTGAAAATTAAAAAGAAGGAATTATCTGGAATTTAATATTGTGATACATGAAAGGCAGGTACGATTTCGCTCATTTTTGTAACTTTAATATTTTGCACTGTAAGATGAGTTGCTAGAAAGACTTACTGTCAGAAAGTTTGTTTGTTATACCTTTAATGATTTATGAGATATGCACTTAAAATCAATTAATAGGCGAGGCTAAGTCCACTTTTTAAAGCTGTTTATGAGGCTCCCTCCTACTATTCCTTGCACCGATCTATCTCACGATTTTTATTTCAATTTGTGGCTTTGTTATAGGCAWCTGCAATGAAAATTTCCAAGTTTTATCAATATATCTCAAGTTTTACTGAAGTTAATACTTGCATGGATGGACAGACATTCACTTGAAGCTTAACATTTTTTACTGCAAAGTTTTTTCAGCACCTGAAGGTATATTCTGGTCTTTGAGCTTTGCAAGTTGCAAGAGTATAAAACTTTTATATACACCCGCGCTTAGCCGTTTCTTACTTCTTAAAGTCAGAATATGCAATTTCGAACACTTAGCTCTCCTTAGCTTGGCACTATTATGTACATACTTGTATATAGCTCCATGGTTATATATATCAAACAAATACTTCATTTCGACTTTATGTTGGTATTTTGGTTTAGACTAAAAAYTTAGACACGTAGTTCGAAACTTCCGTTTTCAAGGCAATTTCAAAGCCAAAATACAATGCTCATCTAGTCTATAAAATAGAATAACTCAGCTTATTCTTACTACTAATAAAAGACGGCTTAAGCTACATTATTTTCCGACTAACCAMTCTATTACTTAATAAWATTTTTATACCCTGAACAGGGYATATTAATTTTGTCACGAARWTTGTAACRCCCAGAASAAAGCGTCGGAGACCCTATAAAGTATATATATAAATGATCAGTATGTTGAGCTGATTCGATTTAGCYATGTCCGTCTGTCTGTATATATACGAAMTAGTCTCTCAGTTTTTAAGATATCGTTTTGAAATTTTGCAAACACCATTTTCTCTTCAARAAGYTACTCATTTGTCGGAACTGYCGACATCKKACCACTATAACRTWTAKCTGCYATATAAACTGAACGATCGGAATCAAGTTCTTGTATGGAAAACTTTCACATTTGACAATATATCTTCACTAAAGTTGGCACAAGTTATTTTCTATGGCAACAATATAATCTCCGAAGAAATTGTTCAGATCGGTTAACTATAACATATAGCTGCCATACAAACTGAACGATCGGAATCTAGTGCTGGTATGGAAAACTTTTGCATTTAATAAGATATATTCGCCAAATTTGGTATAGATTATTTTCTAAGACAATAATGTAATCTCTGAAAAAATTGTTCAGATCGGTTAACTATAACATATAGCTGCCATACAAACTGAA